TTCTTCCTAGAGTGCTGTTTTCATCAATGTATCACACTAAATTTGTGGTCTAGCGGGAACGATCACAGAGATATAGGATGTTCAAAATCGAACTTTTTCTATTTTAGGATTTTTATTGTCGAAACTCATTATTGATCAAAACGGCTTCCATGTCCCTATCTGAAGTTTTGATTTACTATCTACCGACATTTAATTGGAACTAATACAGGGTGGCTTCATAAATCTAATAACCCTGTATATGTTCCAATTAAATGTAAGTGAATAGAAAATCAACAGTTAGATAGGGACATGTAAGCCGTTTCGACAAATAATGAATAGTTTCGACTGAAAAAAATCCTTAAGTTGAAAAATGTCGATTTTGAGCACCCTATATCTCTGTCATCTTCCGTGCTAGATCACAAGTATCATATATTCATGAAATCAGCTCTCCAAGAAGAAAAACTGGGTGGTCCATTTGAAAAAAATCAAACGTGCTGCTACTTTCTAGTAGAAACGGCAACACCGCATCGTTGAAAATATTTTAGACGTGTAGATCATGTCAAGTTATACCAACCATCAAATTTTCAGATACATCTGTTGCTTGGTTTGCCAGAACCGTCTAATTAACGCTCATTCGTGAATCACCCTGTATTGTTTAACGAGCACGGAATTATAGTCATGTTAATTAGAAATTAGCATTCCGTGCAAGTTATACACTATACTTTTTCTACGGCTGTCACAGATAACAGCGAAATTTTTGAATTCTTCGGCATTATGTAACCATCTGATTTTCTCTTAAGTAATGCTCATTATTATTAGACAGATCTGTCATTGCCTGAAATGTGACATCTCATGGGAGATGAGATTTTGTGAAATAATAGCAATCTTGTGTTATATAGCCGTAGAAAAGGAACTGTTTTAATTTTACAACTGTGTTTATCAAAAAGAGTGATAATTAATACAGTGTCTTTCAAATAATATATCCATCGGTATAGTGATTACATCGCGTTATTCTGTGTTGTGTCGGTGTTTTGTGAAGTGTTTTAAGAATTCATATGTGGACTATATGCAAATTTCATACTGGTGAGTTTTTCAATCTTCCCTAACAAGTGATAGGCACTTTGTGAAACACGAGCAGAACCACTCTTATAACTATAATCACGAATTTTTTACTTATCATTCGATGGAAATAAAACGCCGATTTGTCTATCTCGATCTCAAGCTAGCAGAACCAAAATTCAAATATAATGGTTTTTGGTGTTATAGTCAATTCAATAATAACAAGTTACTAATTTATTACTAATTTTTTTTTCAGGATATTCCAGGAGCAATGTAAACTATGGCAGATATCTCATCATTTGGGATCCTGTACTCACAAGAACTCGATAATGGTTCACGACAATTCACTTATAGGAGCTCAACATCTGTCAGACAGATTAATGAAATATGGAGATTTCCAAGAGATAAGTTTTCATGAACATTAAATTCAAATACAGATCGTTATTTTATTCTTTCTTGAGCATTTCTTCATAAAAAACGACTTTTATCATTCATCAAATCAAAGAGTCGAAAAATTAGTCGACATTGTGAGTGTATGGAATCACGTCCGGTACCCTTACGAGGGGAGTGTATCAACTTTGGCGTTCGTGATGCCTCTCTACAAAGGAGGGTGTCGTCTTAAAGAGTTAGGTATAAACAGTGGTTTTATACCAGTTCATTTCGAAATTATCTGTGCACTTTCAGAAATCAACAGTCGTTGTTTCAATGAAGCAGTGCTCTGTTCGAAACACCCATGTTTTCTTCCATGGATGTAAATTATAATGAATAATATATTGCGCAATCAGAGAAGCATAATACTTATCCGAATTTTCTCAGGATATTTCAGATGCAATGTAAACTATGGCAGATATCTCATCATTTGGGATCCTGTACTCACAAGAACTATCAATAATCGTTTACGACAATTCACTTAGGAGCTCAACAACTGTCAGACAGGTTAATGGAATATGGAGATGTCCAAGATAAGTTTTCATGAACTTTAAATTCAAAATAATACTAATCCGATTTTTTTTCAGGATCTTTCAGAAGCAATGTAAACTACGGCAGATATCTCATCATTTGGGATCCTGTACTCACAAGAACTCAATAATCGTTCACGGCAGTTCACTTAAGAGCTCAACATCTGTCAGACAGATTAATGAAATATGGAGATTTCCAAGAGATAAGTTTTCATGAACATTAAATTCAAATACAGATCGTTATTTTATTCTTCCTCGAGCATTTCTTCATAAAAAACGACTTTTATCATTCATCAAATCAAAGAGTCGAAAAATTAGTCGACATTGTGAGTGTATGGAATCACGTCCGGTACCCTTACGAGGGGAGTGTATCAACTTTGGCGTTCGTAATGCCTCTCTACAAAGGAGGGTGTCGCCTTCAAGAGTTAGGTATAAACAGTGGTTTTATACCAGTTCTTTTCCAAATTATCTGTGCACTTTCAGAAATCAACAGTCGTTGTTTCAATGAAGCAGTACTCTGAGGGAGACACCCATGTTTTCTTTCATGGATGTGAATTATAATGAATAATATATTGCGCAATCAGAGAAGCATAATACTTATCCGCTTTTTTTCAGGATATTCCAGATGCAATGTAAACTATGGCAGATATCTCATCATTTGGGATCCTGTACTCACAAGAACTATCAATAATCGTTTACGACAATTCACTTAGGAGCTCAACAACTGTCAGATAGGTTAATGGAATATGGAGATGTCCAAGATAAGTTTTCATGAACATTAAATTCAAAATAATACTAATCCGATTTTTTTTCCAGGATATTTCAGAAGCAATGTAAACTACGGCAGATATCTCATCATTTGGGATCCTGTACTCACAAGAACTCGATAATGGTTCACGACAATCCACTCAGGAGCTCAACATCTGTCAGACAGATTAATGAAATATGGAGATTTCCAAGAGATAAGTTTTCATGAACATTAAATTTAAATACAGATCGTTATTTTATTCTTCCTCGAGCATTTCTTCATAAAAAACGACTTTTATCATTCATCAAATCAAAGAGTCGAAAAATTAGTCGACATTGTGAGTGTATGGAATCACGTCCGGTACCCTTACGAGGGGAGTGTATCAACTTTGGCGTTAGTAATGCCTCTCTACAAAAGAGGGTGTCGCCTTTAAGAGTTAGGTATAAACAGTGGTTTTATACCAGTTCTTTTCCAAATTATCTGTGCACTTTCAGCAATCAACAGTCGTTGTTTCAATGAAGCAGTGCTCTGTTCGAAACACCCATGTTTTCTTCCATGGATGTGAATTATAATGAATAATATATTGCGCAATCAGAGAAGCATAATACTTATCCGCTTTTTTTCAGGATATTCCAGATGGAATGTAAACTATATGGCAGATATCTCATCATTTGGGATCCTGTACTCACAAGAACTCAATAATTGTATACGACAATTCACTTAGGAGCTCAACAACTGTCAGACAGCTTGATGGAATATGGAGATGTCCAAGATAAGTTTTCATGAACATTAAATTCAAAATAATACTAATCCGATTTTTTTTCAGGATATTTCAGAAGCAATGTAAACTATGGCAGATATCTCATCATTTGGGATCCTGTACTCACAAGAACTCAATTATCGTTCACGACAATTCACTTAGGAGCTCAACATCTGTCAGACAGATTAATGAAATATGGTGATTTCCAAGAGATAAGTTTATTCAAATACAGATCGTTATTTTATTCTTCCTCGAGCATTTCTTCATAAAAAACGACTTTTATCATTCATCAAATCAAAGAGTCGAAAAATTAATCGACATCATGAGTGTATGGAATCACGTCCGGTACCGTTACGAGGGGAGTGTATCAACTTTGGCGTTAGTAATGCCTCTCTACAAAGGAGGGTGTCGCCTTCAAGAGTTAGGTATAAACAGTGGTTTTACACCAGTTTTTTCCAAATTATTTGTGCACTTTAGGAAAGCAACAGTCGTTATTTCAATGAAGCTGTGCTCTATGAAGTAGGCCTATGTTTTCTTTAAAAAAGGTAAATTTTAATGAATAAGAATAATATATTGGCAATTAGAGAAGCATAATAATAATCCAAGTTTTTTTTCAGGATATTCCTGAAGCAATGTAAACTATGACAACTCACATAGGAGCTCAACATCTGTCAGGCAGATTATTGGAATATGGAGATGGCAAAGAAGAGTTTTCAAGAACATTATATTCAAATACAGATTGAATTTGCCATTTTCTTTGAACATTTCTTCATGAAAAAGGACTATCAATCAAACAGGTGAAAAATTAGTTGACATTATGTGTGTCCAAATTATTTGTACACTAGGAAAAGAGCAGGCGCAATTTCAATGAAGCTATGCTCTATTTCCTCATTCCAGCTAATTATCCTAAGTATAATTTCTATGTGAACCAATAGTTTTAAATCAAAATCTACCATATATCTACACACCACTTATACCACTTATATCAAAACCTTCATATCTAAAATATAAATAATATATACTCTGATTTACCAAATTTTGGAATATCCACACATAGAAAAAAGTTAGGAATACTCATGAATCATTATTTTCTTGAATATCTCTCAACTTTTTTCCATGTGTGTATTTGAGAATGATTTACATACTTTCTGATACACATTCCAAATTTTCCAATTTTGTTGATTAATGTGCATAAGAAACATATCCATCCAAACTACCAGACACTAGAAGATTCAACATTGAAGTGAAAACTGAAAAGTTGTACATTTTCAGGAAATGATACCAATGGGTAATAATTTGAAACATAAATTATTAATATGAGAAAAACTCAATGATACTAATAACTAAATACCTTTCTAAGTTTCCTTCAATATCCCTTTTGAAAAATTGGAAACAATGTCTTAAAAACCAATTTAATTAATTTCTTATTTCCAATACCCAAATGTGTTACATCACAATATTATATCTTGTGAACAGTTGATAATTTAATGAACAACTAATTGTAGAATGGATTATAAGTCACCCAATGAGCCCTATTTTGGTCTTTTTCAGACTGATGAGTAGTGAACAAGGACTTATAAACCTTTGTGACATGATTATCTTTGGCCACACTGTATTCAGGTTTCATTTTTCTCAGTTCCTCAGCTTTTGTGACCTTTCCTCCAGAGATAACATTCCCAATTTTCGACAATGAAGTAGCTTCTTCTACTCTCATTTTCTTGATGCTCTCTTCCCCTTTGCCACAGTTAGTTGTTCTCTTTGTTGTCTTTGTAGAAATGCTTTGTTCTGAACTTGGAACCTCAGATTCAACTTCCTTCTTTACCTTTTTCTTCTTATTTTTGGCTTGCCTGATCTCCATCCTAACTTTCATTAGATCCAAATCTTCATCATTGCCATTTATGATAACAACATCATCATCTTCAAAAGGCTTTGTACATTTGTGGCAATTCTTTGTGCCTATTTCTTTCAATGCACGCTCAGAAAACACACATCCACAAGACCACAGTGCCACAAATCTGGATTTCCCACTCATTTCAAGACTCAAAACTGGGCAGACATATGGGGCAGATCTGTGATCCAAAGAGCCCTCTTTTTTGTCTTCCCCACCTTTGAATTCTGGGTTGTTTGTGAGTTTCACATCCTTAACATCTTTGAGGCTCTTGATGTGCCTGCATGCTTCTGGAAGGGTAGTTCTATCCAGCAGAGCTTCAATGAGAGACATCTTGCTGTAAAGTTTTCCCAAGTGGCAAACCACAATGGGCTCTGAGAGGATTTCTTGGGTGATTGTGCAGCACCTCCATTTGAAGGCAAGTTCAGCATCTTTATCTTTCACCTCTGGCTTCTTTTTGACTCGGACAAGTTCATCTCTTCTGGGAATAGTACCACCATCACAACCCATAGTGCACCTGTCCTAAAATGAAAAGGCTTGGATAGGAATGATACTATTTTGTTGATTAACTTGAAACTTACGAGAACTCGAACCAACTGCAACTCTTGAGATTATTAGCTTCTAGAAGGCTTATTTTATATTTTATCAAATTTGGAAATCACACTAATCGCAGTCTCCAACTTCAACCAGTCGTCCAGTCCAATCAACTGAATCAATTCTTATTTTTCTTACAGAAAAAACAAACAACAAACGTCATAAACACAACAAGGAGAGTTGACATTGACAACTTCAAACTTTAAACAAAAAGTTGACAGTGATGACAGTGACAGTATTGACGCGATTTAAGCCTTGTTTACAAGTAGGCGATTTAGTTTTAGGGTCAGCGGCACCTTCTCAGTGGGTGACTGATCTCTGTTCGCAGTGATAAAAGACGGTGAATATTCGTTATTTAATTGATATTGTTGTGATTAGTTCAGTTCACTTCAGGATGAAACACAAGTGACAGAACGGAGGCAACCCGAAAAAAAAATGAGCCTGGCTTATCTAACCGGTGCCGGGTGTTGAGCCACTATTCAAAGTTCTCGTTTCATGAATGTGTTGTTTGGTCATGTCAATGCCTGCTGTCATTGTCAATGATATCTGGGATTTCAGTACCCCTTCCCACTTTTCAGGTTGTCAGTGTTTCTGTTTTCATTTCAGGTTTCACTCATTTCAGGTTTCAGGGCGTAGAGAATAAAATGGCTGGTCTTCGTCGTGCGTAGTGAAATTTGTGCTTGTGAGTTCAAACATTCCAGATAAACCCGTCGGAAATTTGCTGAATTTCATACCGATTCGACCTTTTATCTTTGTAAGAACGAATAATAATATTTCGTTCTAGAAAAGTAAGTGATATTAGCGATAAGTCGTGATATTTGTGTATTGATTTTCTAGTTCTGCTCGTCAATTTCGTCGCGTCCTTCCATTGCCTTTGTGGAAGGTAAAAATAGAAATTTCCGTTTAATCGAGGAACAGATGCCGCTTGTTTGTTCTCGAATCTTTATTTTCGTCGTGTAGTGAGTGAGTTCGTCAAATTCGGACCTTATAGTGCCAAGCCAAGTGTTATTTTGTCTGAATTCTTATGGCAACTTATGGTGTGGACTCAAAATGGTGACTTTCTCTTTGTCGCGATGGAAAAAAGTCCCGTTATTTCATTTTTGCCGTGTACCGTCTCGACTCGTTCGTGTAACAGGCTGGTTCCTTTTCGTCTCGATTGTAAACCGCTTTCCGGGAAAAAAATCGGCAATCACAAAAATTGCAAGAAACAGTTTTCAGGTCATGTAGTTGAATTGCATGAATGGTTTGAATGAATTGGTGAATCTGGCATGATTTTTACAACCGTTAACATTTCTTGAAACAATGTTTGATTCGATCAACGTACTTGGCCACTATGCTTTTATTGTCGGGATAGCATTGTGGCTAGTTTTGATGAAAACTATTGACGCGTTACGTGATTTTAGCGACGTTACTTGAACCTCCGCGAAAATCCAGTCCAATGGTGGCATTCATTGGGCAATCGCATACTATGGGTATCCATTTTTGAGCAAGCTTTGAAAATTTTATGATAATTGAAGTGAGTTTTTGCTTCCTTGTTATTTTAGACAACCTACCTGTTTTCTTTTATTTCTTGTGCATATTCACCAGAATCTTCATTCAGGGCATAGGTCAAGGATTGATAAATATTCTGTTTCTAGGGTGTACCTTCAATTACAGTGCAATACCTTTTATAATTTACTTGTAATTTATCCTAATCCCTCATAGTACCCAATAATGATTACCTAGTGCTTACAGTTTCCCAGGTACCTACCTACCAGCTACCTGATAGTACTGATGACTATTTCTTTTGAAATGTGACTAATAATCATGGTCCTTCCATTAATAATTATTCCCCAGGTACACCAATGCTGTATGGAAAAAAAATCGCTTTGATCCTACTCAATTATCACAAACAAATTAACCAATAACTCATCCCAGTGTGAATACCAGTTCAATGAAATGAAACATCAGAGTGAGGATTTCAATATCATTTTATGTTGAAGATTTAAGTGCCTTTGTTGAATCTTGGTGAATATACATAATTCATACATCATCTATTGAATTTTTACTCAGGTCTATAATGGTGCCTTGGTAAAAGAGTACTACTACTAAAATAATTGTTGAACTAAAGAAATTCAAGTCTTGTTTTATTCATTAGGCATTGTTTGATTTGCTAAAAAAATGACAGCAATTTATTTCTACAATTTATTTAGTTGTATTGACTCATTTGTCACAGATTTTGTTTGAGACAATGAAAGATATTGTGATATTTATATTTTTCCATACAGGATCCCATGCATTGAATTTCTCCAAGTAACTTGAGTCTTGAAAATAAGAAAAACACAAATCAGAAATTCCTATTCTCTGCTATCTTGGAATTGAACTAAAACTTCAGAAGAAAAAAAAAAAAAGGATTCTTTTTTCTGTTCAATAAAGTTATTATATTATTATCATATACTCACTTTTTCATCAGCACAATTGGATAGATTATTTTTTGTATACCTACCTAGAATTTGTTGAATATACAAACCAATTTCAATGAACCACTGATAATAATAATTTTAATAGTAAAAACAATAATAGAGTTATGTTTATATGATATTCAAGGTAAAATATGAAATGAAAAGACATTACTTGAAAATATAGACAAGAATACCTACAAAGTTGTTATTTTCATGTTAACAATTTAATGTTCATCTTCTATATAATATTCAAGGTAAAATATGAAATGGAAAGACATGTGAAACATTTACAGTTGGAGGCATTATATTAAAATGACATGAAAATATGAACAAGAATACCTACAAAGTTGTTATTTTCATATTAACAATTCAATTTTCATCTTCATTAAGAATAGTGCAAAAAATACAACTACAGTTTGTGATCATGCTTCAACTTTTATGATATATTTGAAAAATGCTTTTTGATTACTGAAAATTCCTGAAAAGCAAGTGTTTTGGTTGCTTGATATTAATCTCATTTCCCTCAATACTATTGAACTAATAAGAAAAGGTGATTTATAGAAATGTCTACCAGAAGAAGATCTAGAAGTAGGAGTAGAGATAAGAAAATTGCACCAGCCAAACTCAGAATGGATACTAAACCTCAAGCAATTCGCATTACAGGTACAATGAAAATCAGTAGACATTGTCATGTTTGAAACTTGAAATGCTAGAATACAAAAAAATCAAATGTATTAAGTTGAATTGCTTGAATCTTATGATTTAAAAAAATCTGTTTTCAGACCCTAGCTTACCAGCTGGCAGAAGAAGGGAAATTGATAATGTCATGAAAAAAGCTAGAGCTCAAAAGTCACCAAATTCAGGAGTATTCTGGGATAAAAAACTCTTGGAAGTTGAAGCAAAAGATCCAAACAGGTGAATGATAAAATAAATTGAAACTATCTTCTTCAATTATTGTAGAAACATAGTCTCCCAACAAACAGAAGTAAAAAAGGCTTGTAGTTCATTCAACTAAATCCTCTCAATCAGTCTCCCAAAGCATTGAGTACACATTGCTGATGATTAGGCTCTGTGAAATTATTCCTTTGGGAAATTAAATGGTGTCAGAATTGTGGTAGATATGGAATAATAAGTATATATAACTTCAAGATACCAACACAAGTAAAAAAAAGTCTCTAAATGATCAGTTAGTAGATTGCATACAGGGTGGTCATTTGAAAATGAAACAGAGGGTCTAACTGAACCAGATTATAAAAAAAAACACCAGAACACCTCAACTACATTCTCCAGAGGGGCAGCTTTCTAAAATATTTTCAGGGCTGCGGCGTTGCCGCGTCTATCAAAAAGTAGCAACAACTCCTTGAAAATGAACAAGATAATGAAAATATTTCGAATTTGTCGCTTTTTTCAGGTTTAATTCACAAAATATCGATCCTATCAGAAAAATTGTGATAACCAAACTTGTAGAGAACCAAATTTACTACAATTCTTGTCCCTAAACTTTTTCTGTAGAATCAAAAATGGCCGAGTTATTCCAGAAAAACCGTTTTTTAACAAAAAAACAGTTTTACCCAAAAGCTTGATTTGGTCGCCATTTTGAATTTACACTCCCAGTGACCCCCCAGAGACACCTATGAAAAAAAAAACACTAAAAAATTATTCACGGGTCAAAGTCTATAATGACTGGACTAAAGTTGTATCGGGTTTAGTTTGGCTGAAATCAGTTATGGAAAAACTATTGCCATGGCAACAATCGTCATGGTAACGAGTGATCAAAAATCTGATTACCGTGATGAGGAAATGCGTGGTTGCCAAGTTGTATCGGAGAAATATTGCTTTATTCATTGATTGCAAAAACACTTTCCAATGCAACCATCCTTTAGGTATGCACGATTTTCGATGTTCTTCGAACATTATAGGAATCTCCTTCCGTGCGCTCCAATAGATGAAAAAAAAAATAACGGGAGTCGAATACATTCTCAATCATGGATAACTCTATAGTTGCACGATAAAGATGCCATCCCACACAAAATGTTGTTCTGGGACCAGGAAAATTGTAATTAACGAAAAACAGTAAGAGATAACATACTGTATATTTATATATTTGTGATCCCAAAAGATCACAGATCTCGAAAAAAATATAAAAAACAGGGTGTTCCATTTAAAAAAATTGATTTGTGGTTTGCCACGCTCTTAGGAATCACCCTGTATAACCTCTGATGAATGCCTTAGAAAGGTCTCATTGCGGCATTAAATTCCCGCATATTATTATTTTTTTCTAAGTGAAAGTATAAGGAAAATATGGGGGTGGGCCTTCTCGATGGATAACCCTGTACATACTGTCTTCTCAGGAAGAAGGTTCATTTAGCGACAGCGTCACTGAAGTTCAATATTTATTTATTGAAACATATGATCCTTTTTATCAAAAATTATAGCAGAATTCTTATAAAATACTGAGTAAAATACCCCATTTATGTCATTATGTATATTACAATCATATAAATCTTGAGTATTCAAATTTCAGTATATTCCCTTAAAACGAATTTACTTTTCCGCACTCAATGCGGAAAAGTGATTCTTTCAACACTGAAATGAGTCGGAAAAGTGAGTTTTTCCGCACGCTAGTAGAAAAAAATCATTTTTCGTATACGCGCTTGTCAACTAGCGAACTAACTCTCAAAATGACGTTCCAGGTGGCGCCACAGCGGCTACAAGTCTCTGTACATCGACGGTTCCCCGCCGTCTCCGGGCAGCCGCCGCTCGCGTTCTCGCTCACCGCCCGCGGGCTCCTCCGCCGCCGCCGCTTTCGGTCGCCGGTCGCCGCCGTCCGCGACCATGCGCCGCCGGTCGCCGCGGTCGCCGCCGCCGCGTTTCAGTCGGTCGCCGTCTCCCAGAGCGGTCGGTAGAAGGAGATCGCCGCCTTTGCGCTACAGGTGTGTTTTTGGTTTGTTTCTACTTGACTAAGGCTTGGGAATTTATTTTGATATTTTATCGAATATTCCGGTGGTAAAATATGAATATTCAATTATTCGAATACTCCATGTATGGGATAGCTAAATAATTGAATATTTTTATATTTGATCATTTGAATATTTTAATATTTTAATATTTTAATATTGTAATATTGTAATATTTTAATATTTTAATATTTTAATATTTTAAAATTTTAATATTTTAATATTTTAATATTTTAATATTTTAATATTTTAATATTGTAATATTTTAATATTTTAATATTTTAATATTTTAATATTTTAATATTTTAATATTTTAATATTTTAATATTTTAATATTTTAATATTTTGATATTTTGATATTTTAATATTTTAATATTTTAATATTTTGATATTTTAATATTTTAATATTTTAATATTTTAATATTTTAATTTAATATTTTAATATTTTAATTTAATATTTCAATATTTTAATATTTTAATTTAATATTTTAATATTTTAATTTAATATTTTAATATTTTAATATTTTAATTTAATATTTTAATATTTTAATTTAATATTTTAATATTTTATTATTTTGATATTTTAATATTTTGATATTTTAATATTTTGATATTTTAATATTTTGATATTTTAATATTTCAATATTTTAATATTTTAATATCTTAATATTTTAATAATATTTTAATATTTCGATATTTTAATATTTTAATATTTTAATATTTTAATATTTTAATATTTTAATATTTTAATATTTTAATATTTTAATATTTTAATATTTTAATATTTTAATATTTTAATATTTTAATATTTTAATATTTTAATATTTTAATATTTTAATATTTTAATATTTTAATATTTTAATATTTTAATATTTTAATATTTTAATATTTTAATATTTTAATATTTTAATATTTTAATATTTTAATATTTTAATATTTTAATATTTTAATATTTTAATATTTTAATATTTTAATATTTTAATATTTTAATATTTTAATATTTTAATATTTTAATATTTTAATATTTTAATATTTTAATATTTTACGATTCTAATATTTTAATATTTTGATATTTTAATATTTTAATAAATATTTCAATATCTCAATATTTCAATATTTCAATATTTCAATATCTCAATATTTCAATATATCAATATTTCAATATTTCAATATTTCAATATTTCAATATTTCAATATTTCAATATTTCAATATTTCAATATTTCAATATTTTAATATTTTAATATTTTGATTTGAATATTTGGATATTTGGAATATTCCAATATTGAAATATTCCAATATTGAAATATTTCAATATTGGAATATTGAATTTTTGAATATTGGATATTCGAATATTTGAATGTTGAAATTTTTGAATATTGTGATATTTGAATATATGAATATTTGAATAATATATGAATATATGAATATTTGCCGCACGAAGCCGACCGCATTCTGCCTTCGCCGTCGTGCGTCAACATTGACTAGTAATAAAAAGTACCACTTTACACACTCGTTACATAAATAACTATTTTCATCTGTAATTTTTTTTTCCTCTTTTATTTTGCCCATCTTCTCTTTTCATTGTTCTTCACTTGTATTCCTAAAATAACATTTGAATATCTGAATATCTGAATATCTGAATTTTTGAACATTTGAACATATGAATATTGGAATAATTCAATTCTGGAATATTTTAATTTTGGAATTGTTTTCTCAGGAGCAGATCGCCGCCGCCTGGAAGCGCCCGTGCTTCGCGGCCGATGGGGCGGCCGCGATCGCCGCCCTCCCCTCGCGAGCCGCCCTCCTCGCGGCACCCCAAGAGGCGGTCGGTGTCGAACAGCTCGATCAGCAGCTGCTCCGACGATTCGTGTTCGGTGTGTTCGCCGAAAGGACACAGGAACGCCAGATCCAGGTGAGGATTCGTTCAATGAAATTTTGAATATTACAAAGTACACACAACCTTACCCTTTGTTTAATTATACAGAGTGGGCCTTTGAAAACGAAACAGAGGCTCTGTAGGTCGCCAAAACCGGATTATGAAAAGAATCTGAAACACGTCAACTACGTTTTCGAGGGGGACATCGTCCTACAATATTTTCAGCCCTGCGGCGTTGCCGCTGCTAACGACAAGAAGCAACAACTTTGTTATTCCAAATGGAACACCTTGTATTTCATTGCATTTTTAGATTCTCCCCGAAGAGCTGATTTCATCAATGCATCACACTTGGGGTCTAGCTGTAATGGTTTCAGGGATATAAAGTGTTCAAAATCGAGATTTTTCAACTTTGACATTTTTTTGTGTCGAAACTATTCATTATTGGTCGAAACGGCTCTCATGTCCCTATCTCAACTTGTGATTTACTATCTACTGACATTTAATTGGAACAGATACAGGGTGATCAGAATTCTGAATCTTGAACCACCCTGTATTTGTTTCAAATAAATGTCAGTAGATAGTAAATCACAAGTTGAGATCGGGACATGAGAGCCGTTTTGACCAATAATGAATAGTTTCGACACAAAAAAATTTTAAAGTTGAAAAATCACGATTTTTAACACTTTATATCCCTGAAACCATCACAGCTAGACCCTAAGTGTGATGCATTGATGAAATCAGCTCTTCGGGGAGAATCTAAAATGCAATAAAATACAAGGTGTTCCATTTGAAATAACAAAGTTGTTGCTTCTTTTCTTTAGAAGCGGCAACGCCGCAGGGCTGAAAATATTTTAGAAAGATGTCTCCCTCGAAAATGTAGTTGACCTGTTTCAGTTTTTTTTGATAATCCGGTTTTGGCGACCTACAGAGCCTCTGTTTCGTTTTCAAAGGCCCACTCTGTATAAGAGGTATATATTATTATTATTCTTTTTGATCGCACTCTTTTTGTTTTCGGAGGTGGTCAAAATCCTTTATGGACACCACGGAGGACCATTAAACACTCCACTACCTCGAATATGCCGTTATTGACGCCATCAAATATGACCCATGGTTCTTATACAGGGTGTCTGCTAAAAGGAGGTCAATCCATCAACAATATATTCCTTGAACAAAAACAATATGAGTTTCTAAATACCATTTTTCATTTTAGCCCTTCATATTCGATATACAGGGTGTCAAAGTTGAAAATCAACAACTGTTTTTTTTTTAATTACTCGCGTATTTAATAAGATATTAATCTCAAAATTGGTATATCACTTCAGCACAAAGAGTTACATCATGTGAGGAAAACAAAACAGAAAATAACTGTCAAATATTCAAAATACACTTACCCCCATTTTTTTTTGTACGTGCGTTAATGACTTCCTATCTATTTTTCTTCAAGTGTTCAATCATTTTTCAGTATTTTTTGTTTCTTGTAAAATTACCATAAAATGATATGTTTATAAGATAATTCGAAAAGTACTGGTTATTGTTTGATGCCTATGCGGCTTACGGTAATCTCATAATGTTCACATACTCCTATTTATTTCGTCGAAATTGGAAGAGGGCGTAACTTTTCACGTACGAAAAGGTGAATATGGAAATACCGGCTGCTCAGAGCGAATGTATCGAAATAATTTTCACGAAAAAAATTTGATAGAAATTGAACACGTCTAATGAATTGCTTGATATGGCCTCCAATTTTTTGAATACACATGCGAGCCCTTTCAATTAAAGAAAATCTTACATCCCCAGACAATCCTGATCTGCTATTTCTTTCATCAAGTAGCTATTAAAATAGTCATTAGCGCACGTACAAAAAAATATGGGGATGAGTGGGTACTTGATCCCCCGTATTTTGAATATTTGACAGTTATTTTCTGTTTTGTTTTCCTCACACGATGTAACTCTTTGTGCTGAAGTAATGTACCAATTTTGAGATTGATATCTTATTGACTACGCGAGTAATTAATAAAAACAGTTTTTTCCAACGTTGACCCTGTATATCGAATATGAAGTGCTAAAATGGAAAATGTTATTAAGAAACTCATATTGTTTTTGTTCAAGGTATATATGGTTGATGGATTGACCTCATTTTAGCGGACACCCTGCATAACGGCCAACCCTGTTTTCCAGGTCCAGATCGCCGTCCCCCCGTATGCGCCGCCCCCTTCCCAAGGCCCCGCCCTCTCCGCCGCCGCCCAAGCAGCGCACCCGACCCCGCCCTCCCTCGCCGCCTCCCGCCCGGCGCCCTGGCAAGCCACCTACGACGCCGCCGCCGCAACAGGTGGCGCGCAAACAGCCGCCCAAACCCAGTCCGTCTGACAGGCCGACGGACCCGCGAAGGCAGCCGCCGCCGCCCAGGCCGAGGGGCAGCACGGGGGAGCTGATCAGCGTGAAGGGCGTGAGGCCGCCCACGAAGGCGGGGGCTGCCGGGGCGGTCAGGAAGGAGAAGAGCACTTTGCAGCCGGTAAGTTTTGATATTTGTTGCCAGTGGATGTATTTTGGAGTATTTGGAAGTCCTATGAAGCCTTTGTATGTCATTTTATGAGTCATTTGAAAGTATTTGGAGGTACCTGTAAGTATTCAAAAAGTAAGTCTATCAAGGTAACTTCGAGAGTCTTTGAATATCTTTCAAAGTCATGGGACGTCTCTCAAAGTATTTGGGAGTCTTTTAGAGGCTCTCCGGAAGTCATTGGAAAGTACCTGCAAGTCCTTTGCAGCCGGTAAGGATCATGTTTGTTTTGATATTTATTGCCATTGGGTGTAATTTGGAGTATTTGGAAGTGTTCTGAATTCTTTGTAAGTCTTCTAAAGCCTTTGTAAGTCATTTTATGATTTTCTCTGCAAGTCAATAGAAAGTATTTGGAAGTCCCTGTAAGTATTCAAAAATTGAATCTATCAATGTTACTTTGAGAGTCTTTGAATATCTTTCAAAGTCATAGGACGTCTCTGAAAGTATTTGGGAGTCTCTAAGAGTCTCTCCGGAAGTCTTTGGAAAGTACCTGAAAGTCCTTTGAAGATTTTTGATAGTCATGAGATGTTTTTCAAAGTTCTAAGGCGTCTTTGAAAGTATTTGAAAGTTTTTTTAGAGTCATTAAATCTCTGGGAGTCATTGGAAAGTACTTGAAAGTCCCTTGAAGGTTTTTGATAGTTTTGAGATGTATTTCAAAGTCATATGACGTCTTTTAGAGTCAATATATCTCTCCGGAAGTCATTGGAAAGTACCTGAAAGTCCCTTGAAGGAAGTATTTGGAAGTCTTTTAGAGTCAAAAATCTCTCCGGAAGTAATTGGAAAGTATCTGAAAGTCCCTTAAAGGTGTATGATAATCTTGAGATGTCTTTCAAAGTCATAGGACGTCTTTGAAAGTATTTTAGAGTCAATGAATCTTTCCGGAAGTCATTGGAAAGTACCTGAATGTCCCTTGAAGGAAGTATTTGGAAGTCCTTTAGAGTCAAAAATCTCTCCGGAAGTCATTGGAAAGAAAGTGCCTGAAAGTATTTTAGAGTCTATGAATCTTTCCGGAAGTCATTGGAAAGTACCTGAAAGTCTCTTGAAGGTTTTTGATAGTCATGAGATGTCTTTCAAAGTCTTAGGACATCTTTGAAACTATTTGCACTTTATCAAGACTCCTTCATCCATAGAACGGCTAGGCTCTGGAATTCATTGCCTGTGGAAGTATTCCCAACAACATATAATCTCCAAAAATCAAAAAAAAAATCCAATACCTACCTCCTGTCCCTATCCTCCCTAGGAACGCACGATGTTCTTTGAACATTATAGGGATTCCCTTTCGTGCGCTCCAGTCGATAAAAAAAATTAATCTTTCCGGAAGTAATTGGAAAGTATCTGAAAGTCCCTGGAAGGTTTTTGATAATCATGAGATTTCTTTCAAAGCCATAGGGCGTCTTTGAAAGTATTTGAAAGTATTTTAGAGTCAATGAATCTTTCCGGAAGTCATTGGAAAGTACCTGAAAGACCCTTGAAGTTTTTTGATAGTCATGAGATGTCTTTCAAATTCATAGAATGTCTTTGAAAGTATTTGGAATTCTTTTATCGTCAATTTTGGAAGTCATTGGAAAGTACCTGAAAGTCACTTGATGGTTTTTGATAGTCATGTGATGTCTCTCAATGTCATAGGACGTATTTGAAAGTATTTGCAAGTCTTTTAGAGTCAATAAATCTTTCTGGAAGTAATTGGAAAGTTTCTGAAAGTCCCTTGAAGGTTTTTAATAATCATGAGATGTCTTTCAAAGTCATAGGGCGTCTTTGAAAGTATTTGGAAGTCTTTTTGAGCCAATGAATCTTTCCGGAAATCATTGGAAAGTACCTGAAAGTCCCTTGAAGTTTTTTTATAATCATGAGATGTCTTTCAAAGTCATAGGACGTCTTTGAAAGTATTTGGAAGTCTTTTAGAGTCAATGAATCCTTCCGGAAGTCATTCGAAAGTACCTGAAAGTCCCTTTAAGTTTTTTGATAATCATGATATGTCTTTCAATGTCATAGAATGTCTGAAAGTATCCTCAATGAATCGTTTTGGGAGTCATTGGAAAGTACCAGAAAGTCTCTTGAAGGTTTTTTGATAGTTATGAGACGTCTTTGAAAGTATTTTGAAGTATTTTAAAGTCGATGAATTTCTCTGGAAATCATTGGAAAGTATGAAAAAAGTCCCATGAGGTATTCAGAAGTTTATCAAAGTCTCTTTGAGTAATTGGATGGTCTTTGGAAGTCATTGGCTCTCTTTGCAGATGTTGCTGAAGCGAATAAAGAAAGAACGCACCGGCAAACGTCCGGGCTCGCCGAACGCCGGCGATTCCTCCGGGTCCGAAGACAGCGGCACGTCGTTGATGCCGAAACCGATCGTCGCGACGACCAGTTTGACTTTGTCGGAGCGTTTCGGGAAGATTGCGCAGTGGAGCGCCGACAGGGAGAGGAGGGATATGGAGAACATGCGCATCACAAAGACTGGCAGCAATATGAAGGTGCTGGTCGAGGAGGAGTTCTTGTACGGCAGCCCGCCTAGGAGGTACAGGTCAGATATAATAATGATAATTATGAAGATATTTGGTCTATTTCAACTTAAGGTGAAGAAATTTCGAAATTGCGATTTTTTTTTATTTTTGACCCCCCTAGAAAAAAAATGTGGTACGCCCTTAAAGTTGCAATTTCTATTACAGTTTCGAATGGTGTCGATGAAACTTCAAAATTCCGTTATTTTTTAAATTTGTCATCCCCTCAGAAAAATAGTACGCACCTGAAGTAGCTAATATTTACCTCCGTTTTTTTATCCATTCAGGTAATAATCCGGGCACGCCCCTGGAGTTACAGTTATTATTTCCAGTCGGTATCGAAAATATTTCGAAATTTAGTTTTTTTCTATTATAATGCGCCGGTGAAATTCTAAAATTGGGGTACGCCTCTGGAGGTGCAATGCAGAACTTCTGATTTTGCATCACAAAGACTGGCAGCAATATGAAGGTGCTGGTCGAAGAGAAGTTCTTGTACGGCAGCCCGCCTAGAAGGTACAGGTCAGATATAATGATAATAATAAAAATATTTGGTTTATTTCAACTTGAGGTGAAGAAATTTCGAAATTGCGATTTTTTAAAAATTTTTGACCCCCCTAGAAAAAAAATGTGGTACGCCCTTAAAGTTGCAATTTTTATTACAGTTTCGAATGGTGTTAATGAAACTTTGAAATTCCGTCATTTTTTAAATTTGTTATCCCCCTCAAGAAAATAGTACGCACCTGAAGTAGCTAATATTTACCTCCGTTTTTTTATCCATTCAGGTAATAATCCGGGTACGCCCCTGGAGTTACAGTTTTTATTTCCAGTCGGTGACGAGAATATTTCGAAATTTAGTTTTTCCTATTATAATGCGCCGGCGAAATTCTGAAATTGGGGTACGCCTCTGGAGGTGCAATTTTCATTCAATTTTTGGATGTGTCGGAAGACATATTGAACTTCTGATTTTGCATCACAAAGACTGGCAGCAATTTGAAGGTGCTGGTCGAAGAGGAGTTCTTGTACGGCAGCCCGCCTAGGAGGTACAGGTCAGATATAATGATAATAATAATAAAAATATTTGGTCTATTTTAACTTGAGGTAAAGAAATTTCGAAATTGCGATTTTTTTCAAATTTTTGACCCCCTTAGAAAAAAAATTGGGTACGCCCTTGAAGTCGCAATTTTTTATTCAGTTTCGAATTGTGTTGATGAAACTTCCAAAATTCCCTCATTTTTTAAATTTGTTATCCCCCTCAAAAAAATAGTACGCACCTGAAGTAGCTAATATTCACCTCCGTTTTATTATCCATTCAGGAATATATATAGATATAATAATGATAATAATAAAATATTTGGTCTATTTTAACTTGAGGTAAAGAAATTTCGAAATTGCGATTTTTTTAAAAATTTTGACCCCCTTAGAAAAAAAATTGGGTACGCCCTTGAAGTCGCAATTTTTTATTCAGTTTCGAATTGTGTTGATGAAACTTCCAAAATTCCCTCATTTTTTAAATTTGTTATCCCCCTCAAAAAAAATAGTACGCACCTGAAGTAGCTAATATTCACCTCCGTTTTATTATCCATTCAGGAATATATATAGATATAACAATGATAATAATAAAATATTTGGTCTATTTTAACTTGAGGTAAAGAAATTTCGAAATTGCGATTTTTTTTAAATTTTTGACCCCCTTAGAAAAAAAATTGGGTACGCACTTGAAGTCGCAATTTTTTATTCAGTTTCGAATTGTGTTGATGAAACTTCCAAAATTCCCTCATTTTTTAAATTTGTTATCCCCCTCAAAAAAAAATAGTACGCACCTGAGGTAGCTAATATTCACCTCCGTTTTATTATCCATTCAGGAATATATATAGATATTACAATGATAATAATAAAATATTTGGTCTATTTTAACTTGAGGTAAAGAAATTTCGAAATTGCGATTTTTTTTAAATTTTTGACCCCCTTAGAAAAAAAATTGGGTACGCCCTTGAAGTCGCAATTTTTTATTCAGTTTCGAATTGTGTTGATGAAACTTCCAAAATTCCCTCATTTTTTAAATTTGTTATCCCCCTCAAAAAAAATAGTACGCACCTGAAGTAGCTAATATTCACCTCCGTTTTATTATCCATTCAGGAATATATATAGATATAACAATGATAATAATAAAATATTTGGTCTATTTTAACTTGAGGTAAAGAAATTTCGAAATTGCGATTTTTTTTAAATTTTTGACCCCCTTAGAAAAAAAATTGGGTACGCACTTGAAGTCGCAATTTTTTATTCAGTTTCGAATTGTGTTGATGAAACTTCCAAAATTCCCTCATTTTTTAAATTTGTTATCCCCCTCAAAAAAAAATAGTACGCACCTGAAGTAGCTAATATTCACCTCCGTTTTATTATCCATTCAGGAATATATATATAGATATAATAATGATAATAATAAAATATTTGGTCTATTTTAACTTGAGGTAAAGAAATTTCGAAATTGCGATTTTTTTCAAATTTTTGACCCCCTTAGAAAAAAAATTGGGTACGACCTTAAAGTTGCAATTATTATTACAGTTCCGAATGGTGTTAATGAAACTTTAAAATTTCGTCATTTTTCAAATTTGTTATCCCCCTCAAGAAAATAGTACGCACCTGAAGTAGCTAATATTTACCTCCGTTTTTTCATCCATTCAGGTAATAATCCGGGTACGCCCCTGGAGTTACAGTTTTATTTTCAGTCAGTATCGAAAATAGTTCGGAATTTAGTTTTTTTTATTATAAAGCGCCGGTGAAATGATGAGGTTAGGGTACGCCTCTGGAAGTGCAATTTTCATTCAATTTTCGGATGTGTCAGAAGACATATTGAACTTCTGATTTTGCATCACAAAGACTGGCAGCAATATGAAGGTGCTGGTCAAAGAGGAGTTCTTGTACGGCAGCCTGTCTAGGAGATCAGGTCAGATATAATAATAATAAAAGTATTTGGTCTATTTTAACTTGAGGTGAAGAAATCTCGAAATTGCAATTTTTCCTTATTTTGACCCCCTTAGAAAAAAAATTGGGTACGCCCTTAAAGTTGCAATTTTTATCACAGTTTCGAATGGTGTTGATGAAACTTTAAAATTCCGTCATTTTTTAAATTTGTTATCCCCCTCAAGAAAATAGTACGCACCTGAAGTAGCTAATATTTACCTCCGTTTTTTTATCCATTCAGGTAATAATCCGGGTACGCCCCTGGAGTTACAGTTTTATTTCCAGTCGGTGTCGAAAATATTTCGAAATTTAGTTTTTTTCTATTATAAAGCGCCGGAGAAATTCTGAATTTGGGGTACGCCTCTGGAGGTGCAATTTTCATTCAATTACCGGATGTGTCAGAAGACATTTCGAACTTCTGTTTTTTTTTTCAATTCATGACACCCTCAAAAAATTCAAACAAGAGGTACAGGTCAGATATTATTGGTTGTCGATTTTGTGGTGATTTTTTTTTTCGTGACGGTCGTTTCGGGAAAAAAATGTTTGAACGTTTGGGAGCCGCGGTTTTTCTGTTTGACTTGAGCCGATGAAATTTCGAAATTGCGATTTCTCCTTATTTTTGACCCCCTTAGAAAAAAATATGGTACTCCCTCAAAGTTATAATTATTTTCTTATAGTTTCAGATTGTGTCATAAAACTTCAAAATTTTATAATTCTTAAAACTTTTGATCCTCAAATAAAATTCACTACGCACCTGAAGTTGCAATTCTGTATTTTCTGATTATTTAAAAAAATATACAGTGACAGAGGAATTTTAAAATTGGGTGTCGCCTCTGAAGCTGCAATTTTCATTCAATTCTCGGCCTTATAAGTTGTAAATTTTGATATTTAAGTTCTGAATTCTCAATTCATGACACTTCCTCCAAGAAAATATGAACTTACCATGTCATTGATAATTCCGGTCCTTGTGATCTCGCCGAAAGCAAACGCTTGGGTTGGCTGTTGACCTCTGATCGATAATCTACGAAACTTTCAGGCAAACTTGGATGCTCAATATCTTCCATAATATTATTTTTTTGTCAAAAAGTATATTCTTTAATATTGTTTGAATAATTACAAAATTTGAAAATAACAGTTGACAGTTAATACAATTGACAGACCAGACATGTCTCAAATTACTGAAGCTGTGTTTAATGAACTGTGTTGCCATGGTAATGTGTTTAAGGAATCGTGTTATTTTGAATAAATCACAGATCGACAATCCGTGATTAGAGAGTTGAAGTAATCACTGTACGTAGACCTCCACGTCGACGTTAACGTACGAAAAATAATGTTGACGTATTGTCGTTAAATTGAGTTGAAGTCGCCACTTTGGTCGTCACTGTCATCATAACGTAATAATACATTTTGTTTTCGGTTTGTATTGGTCATTTTTGGTTGTGTGTTTAGATTCGAACATTTATTCCTGTCAAAATTAGAGGACTCCTTGATGCAGAACTCGTTGGTGATCTCGAATTTGACAATTTTGACTCATCGGCATATTTCGAGTATAGTTTGGTTAACGTACGTTGATATTTAAGGTATACGTGAAGGAACGTGAGATAACGTACACCCGTAAGCCCACTAACAACGCAAACGTGAAGAATTGGAAAATGCGCATGCGTAGCTGTCAATTTCTACGTTTACGTTAACGTTCATGACAACACTTCAACTCTCTATTAATCGATCATTTAACGTGGTACATATCCGTACGCTATATGCCACTTTAGTTATGTGAGTAGAAAAAAAAATTCTGACATACCATGATCGTCCCCTAATATCAATTTTTTTTCCATTGCAGCTTATCTCCCGTCCCCACCGGCCAATTCCCCGACAAACTCCTCTCGTCCAGCCAATCGCGCACCGCCGCCTGGGACGATGTGCGCGTGCGCTACCAGTACTACAAAGACCTCGGCTATTTGCGCGACCTCTCGCTGGACGACTACGTCAAGTGGGAGGAGTGGTGGTACAAGTACCAGGATTGGCTGGCCAACGAGCGACACTACGAGCATTGGCTGACGTCGGAGCGGGGGGTGGGAGGGGGAGGCCGAAGGAGGGGGAAGAAGCGTTTGCCGGCGTCGCAGCGGTTAAACTAGGGTTCGGTCTTGGAGTTGGAGGGAGAGTGTGAGGTTTTGGGTTCTTGGTTTGACGGTGGCGTGGTGTGTTTAGTCATCTTTACAATGGAGATCGTTGGATGGCTTTGGAAATCTTCAGAGGTCGTTGGATGTCTTTGGAAGACTTCAGAGGTTGTTGGATGTCTTTGGAAGTCTTTGGAGGTCATCGGATGGCGTTGGAAGTCTTTGGATGTCTTTGGGAGTCCTCGGAGGTCGTTGGATGTCTGGAAGTTTGTAAAAGTCGTTGGATGTCTTTGAATGTCTTTAAAGGAGTTGGATGTCTTTGAATGTCTTTAAAGGAGTTGGATGTCTGTGAATGTCTTTAAAAGTCGTTGGGTGTCTTTGGGAGTCTTTAAAAATATTTGAATGATTCAGAGGCTAGAAGTCTTATATCTTTGAGAATCAGTGGATGTCTTCATAGGGCATTCAAAAGACTTCAAATGTCTTTGAAACTCCTAGTATATCTTGAAATTACTTCCAAAAGACTTTTCTTAATATCTTTGGAAGTTGTTGGATGGCTTTGGAAGCCAATGAGTGTATTTTAGAGTCATTAGATTCAATTTGGAGATTGTTGGATGTCTTTGGAAGACTTCAAAGGTTGTTGATATCTTTGGAAGTCTTTGGAGGTCATCGGATGGCTTTAGAAGTCTTTGGAAGTCTTCATAAGTCGTTGGATGTCTTTGGAAGTCTTTGGAGGTCATCGGATGGCTTTGCAAGTCTTTGGATGTCGTTGGATGTCATTGGAAGTCTTTGGAGGTCATCGGATGGCTTTGGAAATCTTTGGAGGTCGTTGGATGTCATTGGAAGTCTTTGGAAGTCATCGGATGGCTTTGGAGGTCATCGGATGGCTTTGGAAGTTGTTGGATGTCTTTGAAAGTCTTTGGAGGTCATCGGATGGCTTTGGAAGTTCTCAGAGGTCGTTAGATGTCTGGAAGTTTTTGAAAGTCGTTGGATGTCTTTGAATGTCTTTAAAAGTCGTTGGTTGTCTTTGGAAGTCTTTGGAGGTCGTTAGATGTCTGGGAGTCTTTAAAACTCGTCTTTGGAGATATTTTAATGTCTTGTGACTGACTTTGGAAGCCTTTCAAAATATTTGATTGACTCTGAGAGTCTTTAAAGATCTTTGAATGATTCAGAGACTTTAGAAGTCTTATATCTGAGAATCAGTAGATGTCTTCATATGACTTTCAAAAGACTTCAAATGTCTTTGGAAGTCGTAAAATATCTTGAAATTACTTTTGAAAGACTTCTGATATCGTTGGAAGTCGTTGGATTTCTTTGGAAGTCCATGAGTGTATTTAAAGAATCATTAGATTGAATTTGGAGATCATTTGACATCTTTGGAAGCCTTTCATAAAACCTTCAAATGTTCCTGGGAGTCTAATTGTTTGGAAGTCAATGAATGTGTTTCAAAGTCTTTAAAATGTATTCAAGCGTTAGGGTAACGTGGGCCTTCTTAATATTTTCAGATATTTCTAGTATGTTTTGGAAACCTTCTGAAGTTATTAGAAGACCGGTTTTTCTTTGGAAGTCTTCTTGAATCTTTGAAATCATTGAATGTCTTCTAAAGCATGTCAATTGTCTTTGTAAGTCTTCTGATATTTTTGACAGTGATTGAATATATCTAGGACTAGAAGACAATAGCAGACTTCCAATGACACCTGTCAACTTCCAAAGGTAATAGATTTATTTGGCAATCCTCTACTGTCTTTAAGAGAGACATTCAGGGACTCCCAAAGACATCTGTTACCAAACACAACAATATTTGGAAGTCTTCTACAGTATTTGAAAGTCATTCAACGTCCTTTTAAAAAAGTTGGTAGATTTTATTGGAAGTAATTGGGATTTTTATTGAAGGCATTGGATGGATTTGAGAGACATTAGATGATTTCCAAAGACATTAGAGAATGTATGCCCAATTCCCAGTGACTCCTAAAGTCGTCCGTTTTCTTTGGGAGTCTTCCTAATTTTTTCAAAGTCAATGAATATGCAGTGTTTGGAATAAACTAGAAGTATTAGAGAATCTTTGAGTAATTGAAAGTCGTGGAATGACAAGTTTTGGAAACCATTAGGTATCTAAAGTATTTGGAGATCTTCAAGATTCTCATGTAAAAATGTTCCATGGTGATTTCTGCTAAAATTCGGCGTTGCATCACGTCACTGTCATCCACATACCCCAAGGTGATTATTATTCTAAATTCTGTATCTATTATTTCGACCGTCATCACTTGATTGGAAATGATTTTTATTTTATTTTGAATTCCACTCTTGCGATTGTCTTGTTTAGAGGTGAATTGAAACTTAGAAACGAGTTTTTGATATGAATTGTAATGAGTTAAATGAAATTTCACAATCTTAGCTGTCGATAATTGAGCGTAAGACAGTTTTCTCAATTATAGCAAAAAAATACATTTACTATATTTTTCTTCGTCTTTTCCACCAAAACTCGTAGATTCAACGTATAAAGAAGCATTGTTTACGAAATATTCACTTCGTCCTTCGACCATCAGTTTTTTCGCAATATTAATTTTTGCTGTTGGGCGCCATTTCGTCTGTGTTATTTTTCACACAGAGCCGTGATGAAAAGAATTATTGTTGATACTAATAATTTGTTCTTATGACTAGAAACAGTGAGAAGTTTTTTGGTTGATATAATAGGTGTCACGAAATTAGCGTGTAATATTCCGCCAGCGACCTAAAACATTTGAAATAGCTCATACAAGCATTGGAAAACATTGTAAAATGGTTACTGATGGAAATCACAACTCATTGAAAAGATTCCAGGTATATTTTGCAACCATTTTGTCTTTTATAGTTTACAATGAAAACAACCGGTCAGACTACTAAAATCGATTGAAAACAAACCAGGAAACGACTCCGAAATATTTCAAAGTGTTGTGGATGTATTGGGCATCAAGGGATGAGCTACTATAACATTTTTTGTCTTGAGTGTCACTGGATGTCAATGAATGTCCAATGATTCTGAAAGACTTCCAATGACTCCCAAATACCATTCACTTTGGAAGTCTTCTGAAGAATTTCAAAGTCATTGGATGACTGTGTTGAAATGTTTGGAGTAATTGTTACTCCTCAGAAATATTTGGATGTATTCAAGAAATACTAGATTTTCAAAGACATTTATTGGCTTTCAAAGACATTGGATGCCTTTGGAAGTTTTAATGTCTTCAAAATACATCCAATGAATTTTAAAGACGTCAAAATACTTCCAATGAATTTCAAAAACATCCGAAGTCCTCCCAAACACATCCATTCACTTCGGAAGTCTTCTGAAGTATTTGAAAGTCTTTGGATGTTTGTGTTGAAATGTTTGATAGTCTTTTGGAGCAATTGTTACTCCTCATAATACTATATTATCAAAGACATTTGTTGGCTTTCAAAGACATTGGATGTCTTCGGAAGTTTTAATGTCTTCAAAATACATCCAATGAATTTTAAAGACGTCAAAATACTTTCAATGAATTTCAAAAACATCCGAAGTCCTCCCAAACACATCCATTCACTTTGGAAGTCTTCTGAAGTATTTGAAAGTCTTTGGATGTTTGTGTTGAAATGTTTGATAGTCTTTTGGAGTAATTGTTACTCCTCAGAAATATTTGGATGTATTCAGGAAATACTATATTATCAAAGACATTTGTTGGCTTTCAAAGACATTGGATGCCTTTGGAAGTTTTAATGTCTTCAAAATACATCCAATGAATTTTAAAGACGTCAAAATACTTTCAATGAATTTCAAAAACATCAAGTCTTCCCAAACACATCCATTCACTTCGGAAGTCTTCTGAAGTATTTGAAAGTCTTTGGATGTTTGTGTTGAAATGTTTGATAGTCTTTTGGAGTAATTGTTACTCTTAATACTATATTATCAAAGACATTTGTTGGCTTTCAAAGACATTGGATGTCTTCGGAAGTTATAATGTCTTCAAAATACAACCAATGAATTTTAAAGACGTCAAAATACTTCCAATGAATTTCAAAAACATCAAGTCTTCCCAAACACATCCATTCACTTCGGAAGTCTTCTGAAGTATTTGAAAGTCTTTGGATGTTTGTGTTGAAATGTTTGATAGTCTTTTGGAGTAATTGTTACTCCTCTTAATACTATATTATCAAAGACATTTGTTGGCTTTCAAAGACATTGGATGTCTTCGGAAGTTATAATGTCTTCAAAATACAACCAATGAATTTTAAAGACGTCAAAATACTTTCAATGAATTTCAAAAACATCAAGTCTTCCCAAACACATCCATTCACTTCGGAAGTCTTCTGAAGTACTTGAAAGTCTTTGGATGTTTGTGTTGAAATGTTTGATAGTCTTTTGGAGTAATTGTTACTCCTCTTAATACTATATTATCAAAGACATTTGTTGGCTTTCAAAGACATTGGATGTCTTCGGAAGTTATAATGTCTTCAAAATACATCCAATGAATTTTAAAGACGTCAAAATACTTTCAATGAATTTCAAAAACATCCGAAGTCCTCCCAAACACATCTATTCACTTCGGAAGTCTTCTGAAGTATTTGAAAGTCTTTGGATGTTTGTGTTGAAATGTTTGATAGTCTTTGGATGTTTTCAAGAAATACTAGATTTTTAAAGACATTTATTGGCTTTCAAAGACATTGGATGCCTTTGGAAGTTTTAATATCTTCAAAATACATCCAATGAATTTTAAAGACGTCAAAATACTTTTAATGAATTCCAAAAACATCCGAAGTCGTTTAAAGTAATTTGAAATCTTTGAAAGTCATTGAAGTTATTCAAAGATATTTAGAAGACACTCAATAACTCTCTAACACTATCAAAGTTCTAAACGTCTTTGAAAGTCATTGATTCATTTCATTGAATATCATTGGAAGATATTCAGAGGACTTCCAAAGCCTCTGGAAAAGTCCCAAATAATCCAGTGACTGAGTGATTTCTTGACAGCTCCCAAGATTATGGACATTTTTAAAATATACCCTGTTTAGAAGAATACATCTTCATGACTTCTCTTTGTAGCCATTTTTGGACCTATATTTATGTCAACTTTTTTCTATTTTCGGCCGTAGGAACCGTTGGTGACATATTCTCGCT